AGAAATTGAAAGTAATATAAAGTTTGTTAATATTTAAAATGCGTATAGATGGCGTACCGGGAATTGCAGAGCCTCGGGGGAGGCATTAACTATTTAGGAACAGATGTCTTTGCATAAATTATTTATACGCGGAAAATTCAGTTTTTAGTTTCGCGGAGCGAAGTACTAATGAAAAAGTTATTAAAGTAAGTTTGTGTGATGCAAGGAGAAAATGCTGAGATGCGAGGGTGGCGGCTCGGCTCTTAGATTAAAAGAAAGGAGAGTGGGCGAAACTCCAAAAAAAAAAAACAAGTTCGCCCATTGAGAGCGGATTTTTTTTTGTTGCACACCAAACGATAATTTGCATACGGAAATAGAGAGAAAGGTTTTTGCATTAAAAAGAGGAGAACGGAAAATAAAACTGATAGAAACGGGAATGAAAAGGGGACGAAATAAACTAGGATACATGTAAAATGGAGAGGAATGCTCGGAGAGAAGGAAAATAACTTTTGTGCATTATTTATTTTTTTTCTTGTTGTCGAGTTTCAAGTTTTCAAGTGTCGAGCGTTACTTTAATAGTGCTTGCGAGCTAATTAAGTTTTTTCTTCTTTATTTTCTGATTTACTTTACAAGTCATGCATGTAGTATGAATAATAAGTGTATTAGTTAATGAGTAGACAAAGCAATTACGTTTGGAGAATGTATTGCAAGGATTATTCAAGGATTTTACAATGAAACACAATCGTTTTGTATAAAATAAAGGATATGGCGGATATATCCGCCAATCGTCCTAAATGAGTTAATTTCTATACTGCTATATTTTCTGATTTACTACCCTCTCTTTACAACTCGTGCATGTAGTATGAATAATAAGTGTATTAGTTAATGAGTAGGCAAAGCAATTACGTTTGTTAAGTTGATATAAAAAGAAGCAATTTAAGTATAGAAAAACTTCGCATCTGTTGCAAGGATTTTACAATGAAACACAATCGTTTTGTATAAAATAAAGGATATGGCGGATATATCCGCCAAACGTCCTCAATGTGTTAATTTCTTTAATTTTATCCATGATTTGAGATACTATGGACTGTTTGAAACCGGACTAATAAATATAAAAATAAACTGCGAAATCCGGATTGATCAAATCCGCAATATGCGAGGTATTGTTGTAGAAGTAAAAACAACTGTTCTCTTCACATATTGCTGGTATAAAATCATATAATATTAATGGAATACAATGTAAATAAAACTCATTTATATGAAATAAATACATTCAATCAATTGCAATTATTGAAATATGTGTTTGATTTGAAATGCTGGTGAAAAAAAAACAGCAAGTAATTAAAACAAATTAATTAATATTATTGTTAATTATTACCACGCATTCCGGTAAACTTAAATTAATTGAATTATTTGAATCAATAGAATCGGTATATTCATTCACTAAATCATATGTAATTGGGGAAACTGGAGTTTGCGGACTGGAGTTGTGTATTTTCATGGAATTTGTGTTTGGAACGAATTTTCACATGAATTAAATGTAATTGTGATTGATATTTTTTTTTAATTAATTTAATTGTTTGGAAAATTTTAATTAATTTATTTAAAAATATCAATGTTTTCTCAATTAGAAAATTGTGAAAGAAAATTTGGATTGGTTACTTTGTTGGAAACTGAAGCGATTGTAATTGTTGCGATCGAGTTTTGGAGGAGGCTTCACTTGATATCGTCGCATTTCCCGAAGATTGATGTGAAACAAAACCCGGAGATTCTCAGGCTTACGTAACCATGGATTTAATTCCATCCGGTTTCGAATTACCAAGCAATTACTTGGATGCAGACAGAGACGCAAAAGCGAACAATCCAAAAATATGAATGAAGGAGGAGGAGGAAAGAAATGAAAGGAATAGAATAGAATAGTTGAAATAACAGTTTTTTTTTTTGCTCTTGAAAGGAGCCGAGAAAATTGCTTCTCTCCGCCCAATTTCGCGTAATTGCATCCATGCGGAAAACCCATACATTTTTTCCCCTTTCTCTTCTTAAGTGTCGCTGCAATTCCAATATGCAGTTGTAAATAGCTTTGGAATATTGATGAAAAAAAAAATACTGTTTTTGATGCGGTAACGGAAATTAGTTAATGTTAATTATCGTGCTGAATATTAATTATTGATTTATACGTTTCGTTTTTTTCTTTTGGGGAAATAAAAGATGAAAAAAAAAACTAGTTTCTACTCTAGCGAAGTGCTCGCACCTGGCACGAATTATTCAGCTTTACAACCACTTTTCTTAATTAACTTTTCTCATGGTTTTTTGCGAATTTATTCAATTCTATTTGATTTAAGTTCACTTATTTAATGGTTTCGTGAAATGGATATTCCTCGCATATAAATGCGAAATTTCATGGTTAATAAAGAGACTCGTATGATGCGATGCATGCAATATCCTTGAGGTTCACTTCTTAATGCGAAGGATTAAATTTTTGTTGTTTTCTTTACTTCTTCGATACTCGCGTCCTTTGTGCCTTGTTCAGTTCGTTAGTTTATTACATGGACTTTTCTTTTGTAAGGTTTTAATAGATTCCCGCGTTCGTCGCTAAACAAAAGCTTCTCTAGTAGTTGTGTCTCTTGCAAAATTCTTTGATGATGATGATGCTCTTCTCTTTCTCTCTATGTTTCTGTTTCCGAGCAAGCAACTATTTGTAATGCTCCAATATTTACCAGCGAGTCCGTTCGTTGCGCTGCGCAAACTTTTACCGATTTTCAAGTTTCTGTTGAACATGAGAGAAAGGGGGAAGAAGAGAGAATAAAAACATATTTATAGAATAAATAGAAGAGGTTTGGAATGATGGAGAAAGAGGTGGAAGAAACAGAACAATGCTACTCCATTACCATACTTGATTTTTGTTTGAAGTTTGGATTGGATTTATCGATTTACTAACTCTCTTTTTTTTTTCCGGCTCACTCCGTTTTCGATACGCGAATAATTTAAAGTTTTTCTTCGCATTTATAATCAGGATAATATTTATAGAATTGATTTTGAATCGTTTGATAAAATACTGTTGTTTCTTCAATACATTTATTACAACGAAACGTGAATTTCTTATTCACTTTGATTATCTTAATTTAAATATGTTTGCTTAATTGATAATTCACGAATTGAATAGAATTATTATCTATGAACTTCAAAGTTGTAAGAAAACCATTTTTTTGAAGAAAATTTCAATGAAATTTTCTGTTAGCAAATAAATGCACTTTTGCAAATGCAATATTTGCATTCACTAAATTTGTTGTATGCACACATAATATAATTTTTCTTAAACTGCTGCTGTATCGACTGGTAAATAGTAATAAAAAATGTGCTCAAATAATAAATATAGGAATTCGAAGAAGAGATTACGAATAAAACCGGAAATTCGTTCCGCTTCGATATTTACAAGCCAGTTTCAGTTCATTTGTTTAAGAAGCGTTCTAGATCCGTTTTTGTTTATTCGCCGATGAATAAAACAAGTTTTAATACGCCGAAATTTGCATACTTTTGGTATTATATAAGTAAATCGATATGCAAAAGGACTTGGTATTAAAACCAAGGTCGCAACGTAATTCGAGCCATAATTACTAGACGGAAAACGTAGTTTCTTTTTTGGTTTATTTATAAATATAATTATACGCGTATCGTTTGTAATTAAATTTGTTGATCATTAGTAAATTAATTAATTAATTAATTAGCGAGTTTCGACACATCGTTTGATTGCTATTTAATTAATATATTTTTTTTAGGAATCAAACAAAATTGTTTAACATTTAATACAATGTCAATTCAGTGGAAATTTAATTGCGTCGTTTGATTCTATTTTGCGATACGCGTGTTTTTGTTCGTTTGTATACGTGGCCGAATGCAAAAGTGGTGGATGCGCCGGGTTTTCATTAATTAGAATTACTGCTCGACTCTTAATAGAATTAAGACGCATTTTCCGCGTTGAATTGAATCAACAGATCTGTAACTTTTCCGTGCGTCATACACAAAATTTCTCCTCTGCTCAATCGTCAATTGAAACTTGTTTTCCAGCACGTTTTAATGATGCTATTCATTGTTTTGTTCGAGTGATTTCTCTTTGAAAGTGTGGTGAAAATTGGAGCAGATTTAGTTACAAGCGAATTTACAAATTTTTTGATGATTTATTTCTATTGATAATCCATGATTTTTGTTTCATACTTTCAATTCAAAATAATTGCTTAATTGATTACAAAATTACAAATAAATAAAATATACAAGGAAATTCAATGAAAATTGAAACTTTCAATTCAAAATAATTGTTTAATTGATTACAAAATTAATAAAATATACAAGGAAATTCAATGAAAATTATTATACAAAATAAATGTGAGAATTCTATAAAAAAAACAAAAAAATGGTAAAACCTAAAAATGATGTTAATTTTAAACTAAAATCTATAGTTTCTATAGTTTCGTTGCGTTTATTGCACTGGATGAAACAAGTAAAGAGAAAGAATGAACATTAATGTTGTTTGTTTAATTCAAAGAAATGCGGTTGTTGTTAAACGCGTTTATTGTTTGTTGAACGAAATTGAAATGTTCACGAACTTGCGGAATTTAATTTCAACAAACACGTAGGCCTCTTTTTTCCACTACGATTCCACGTGCAGCTCTTGTTTATTTTCCGTGGCCACCTTTGTACTATTTATTATTTAAAATAAAAAAGACGAGAGAAAAAAAGCAGCAACAGTAGCAAGTGCTGCGTGCTTGTGCGTTGTTTGTTTCTGCTAGTTTTTTTTTGTTTGTTTTATGCATTTGTTTCTAGGTAGTATTTTGTTTATTTATTTCTCTTTTTTGTTATTTATTCGGTTTTTTTTTGCGTTATTTGAGGGTTGAAAGTGGAAGGATAGTTTCGGTTTTTGGGGGGCGGATGCGCGCAGGTCTTCTCTCTCTCTGTGGGGGTGTGTGTGTATGTGTGATGTGGAGGTAACCGTCGGAGGCGGCGATTTGGTCGTGAGGCGGCAGTTTGCCCCATGATCCGGTCCAAACCACCGCGACTCGCGATCCTCCGCCGCCTCCTGGCGATGTCCGCGCGCAAGTGATCCGCGGTATGGTTGATCCTCTTAAGGTGTTTTGGGTGTTAACCAACAGCACTTACCTAGGTACAGACAATAAATATCCTATATTTTATTTACTTTTCTAAAATTACAAATTGATTTTTTCAATAAATTTTAAGTCTCAAAATTAGTCACAAATATTACGAAATCTATGGTGTTTTTACATTTTTAAATTATGATTAGTTTTGTCTGTATACATTTTTAAAATTATTTTATATAAATTTTATATTTCTGGATGCAATTATTTATTTTTTTTTGATTATATTTTTAGAAATTTTTACCTAATAATTTGTGCAAATAATTGAATTCGAACTTGTTTTTCTTAAGTTGTTTTGTTTTGTTTTCTTTATTATACAATTGCATATAATATTTTTCCAAGGCGAGATTACACTAGATGCAAAGAAAATGAAGACGGTTTTCGGGGGGTCGTTGGGGGTTCGAGTGTGAATAATGCGATGTTCTGGGAATGCTGGTAATGGCAAGTAATAAATATTGCGGAAAATTGCGAAGCAACAACGGTTTATGCAACGCAACGCTCCTGCTTATTTTTCTTGTTGCACAATTTGCGCGAAGTGTGTTAATTGTAACTTAATGTAGAATTGAATATTTACTATTTGCACATTTTGTAAAGAATTCTTAAATGTGAATTTATGAAAATTTAGAAAATAAATCTCAATTTTTAATATATTTTCTGTCTTGATATGGAAAAAAAAGTGCTATTGAATGAATAATATTTTAGAATTTGTTGTTTCTGAAGATTTTAAATAATTATTTACATTTTTTTATTAATTTACTTCACTTTCATTTAAAAAGAATATTGACTTAAAGATTTACGTTTAAATTTACGTTAAATTATGTTTTTTTTTATATAAAATTTAATGTTAATAATTTTAATTTACACTAGAAAAAAACATATTTTATTTTATTTCAAAAATTGAAAATATATATATATTATTTTAATAATTAGCAATTAATTAACTAAATTTTTTTAACTCTTAAATTATATTTCACAGTTGAAACACGAATTAATTAAACATATAAATTGTTAATTAATATATGAAATCTAATAGAAATTTAATTAAAATTTGGTATATTTTATGTAAAATTAAATTTATTTTTTTTTTACACAGAATTTTTTTTAAAGTAATTGTAAAGTTTAGAATCCTTGAATATATTGTCTATTATTTGAACTATTTTAGCTAAAATGTTACCAATTTCATGTATTTTTTATTATATTGTGATAAATTCCTTTTGTGCACGAACAGCAGTATTATTTCATGATATAAAATAGAAATATTCGTCGATATTTTTTGGTATTTTTTTTTTCATTATCAATATAGAAAAATACAATGTATAAATTTACATTCAATAATTTACAAATGGATAAACAAAATGTGCACAATTTAAAGCTAAATTTTATTATAAATACTGCATTTTTTATATATAAATTTTGCATCTAGAAATTTAATATCTCACTGAAACAGAGACATTTTTTATATAAAAAAAAACAAACATTGCTTTGCTCTGCAACACTTTGTTTTATGTAAAAACGTAGTAGTAGTTTATAGAAGTGAAAAAATGAAAAAAAGTCGCAGAGAACACAAAACTTTTAGAAGAATACAACAATATTTGTTTCAAACACTTTTTTCTCAGTAAAATATTTTTTTGAATTTTTGCTGGATTTTCACCCTATATATAATAAATACTTTAATAGTTATAAATATTAAAGTTTTTTTTTCTGTTGCGAATTGCTGAAATAATTCGAATCGAAGAGTTTATTAGGGTATTATATATTTGGGGAAATGCCCCAAATATGTCTTAACATCCACTAGGAATGTCTACAAGTATGCGTTATTATATATTTGCGTTAGGTATGCGATATTTAAATTGGATTTCCGAATGATCGACAAACGTGAAATTACCTTCGGGATTGGGATTGGGATTTCACCCTTCCGTTCGGTAATTGTTCGGTAAAAAAAAATTCCCCCCCCGTTGTATTTTCATCCGAAATAGACCGGTTCTTCTTCGCCTCGAGACCGAGTCCATCTTTTCCGAGCGATAAATTCGGTTTTTCGACGATAACAGCAGCAGAAGGAGAAAATAAGAGAAAAAAAAGTATGAGTTGAATCACTCCACGGCCATTATCATTAATTATTCATACCCTGTTGGGCATTGTTTTCCGCACTAGTTTCCTCTCTCGCATCCTGTGACTATTTTTTTCGTCCTTTTTGCAAGACGTTTTCCGGCACTTTTTCGTCGAATTAAATCATCCGGATTCGGACAATCTGCTCTCTTCGGACACGAACACGAATGCATATAGAACGTTGGAAATTGTTTGGGGCTAATTGTAAGGCACGAAGTTTGAAGGAACAATAGTCATTAACGGTGTGGGGTTGTTCGTGGCCCATTGTAAGTCCGCCTCCGCCCCCATTGCATAACAAGACGATGTTGGGCGGATTTATCCGCCTTCCATCCGCACAACTCTCTCTCTCTGTTGCTCTGCTCTAATCCTTCACCCTTGGAACAATTAATAAATTTAATTAATGTTGCAATCACGATTAATTAATCCATAATTCTCCGATTGATTCGTGAAAGGAATTGAAAACATGCCCAAACTTCCGCATTTCGCAATTAGCGATTTGTTTGTACGCAAATTTCCAATTCAATTATTTCCTTTGAAAATTTACTACATTATATCTTAATTGGATTTATTATCAGTTTTTATTGAATTTCTGTTCTCTTTTATTCTCATTTTCGTAATGATTGCTCTTTTCATAATTATCTAAAATAAATTTTATTGAATATTTTGGTAAATTTTTCAGTAAATATTTGTTGGAATTTATTTGAAATTCATGAAATATATCTATTTAGTTTTGAAGATTGTGATGTTTGTATTTGCTACTCGAATGAACTTGTTCTCTTAAAAACATGTATCACTTGATTCTTCTTGAAACCTCTCACCGATTTCTCACTGTGTGTGTGTCTCTCTTGCTCTATCGTTGTTGTATGGAGAAGACACAATTAAATTTCAGTTTCGAAGCGTGTTTTATCAATTGATGTCGCTGAAGTGTGTCGAGCCGTGTCTCCTCGACATTTAGTTTTAAGGCATTGTTCTCATCTCTCTGACTTCTCTCGCTCTCTATTTCTCTTCTACCACTAGCATCATCATCGTCGCGCTTTCATAACGATCCACCGAATAATTTTGTTGTTGTTGTTGTTGTTTTTTGTTGTTGCTATTACTCTTGCTATGTTGACTGTAAATCCGAATGCGTTATTAATGCGTATTATTTCGCTGCGCGAAATTAATTAATTAATTAATTAAACCGAAAATATTTTCGGTGAGTTATTATTTGTTGTGAGCTGAATTAATTGCGCCCCCCTTTTCGACAGAGGTGCATGCGTGCATGTTTGACGTCCATTTATCTTGCGAACAGTTGGCGATATGTTCATGTTTCATTCAATTAATCTCTAACGCTCACTTCGACAATTTCGGCCCCCAGTTTGTGATCCGGCTTAACGGCAAAACCCTCGATTATTGTCCGAACAGTGTTCGAAAACTGTTTGGATTTTTAGTTAAAACTAGTTTTACAATTTTTGCAGATTATTAAATTAGGTATTTTATCGTAAAATGAATCAATATTCTGTATATATATAAAAAAAAATCGGTAATAACAAAGCAGTAATAATTGCGTAACTTTATTTATGAATCGGATTGAAATATTCATATTTTTGTAATATTTATACTTGAATTATTCATATTTCAATTGAAAACATGAATATTATACTTTTGTGCCCATGATCCACTGGAATTTTATAATAATTTATTAAAGTTTTTGAGAAATTTCGTTTGTGTGAATGATAAAGTTAATATTAAATTTTGTAGTTTTGTCTTACAAAATACGTTTAGATTATGAATTAAATTAATTTTATTTTATGAGACTTGAAGTGCGACATATCTTTTACACATTCTACCAAGTTCCATAAACGTAACAGCCCATCGATTACGTAAGTAAATTCGATCTTCGGAAAACTGAACTCAGTTTCTTTTTCCATTTTTCATCCTCACTTTCCTCAATTACTTCTCATCCATCCATCCTTCGAGTAATTTATGAAACGAATCGGATTTGGTTACGTGGAAAATTAAAAGGAAGTCACTCAATTTGCGCCGCGAAAACTGAACAATGTAAAAACATCATCCCTGTTTATTCTCGTCTCTTTCTCTGTGCATTGGGCGTAAATGAATATTTGGATTTTACGCGTTTAATTTCCGGTCTAACCGGAAGTGTCTCCTTAGCGCAAAAACCCAAAATCTTTAATTTGTTGGATTGTTCTGAGAAAGAAGGAATGCGCTCTTTCTCTTTTTTTTTTGTCTTAGGATGAAAAGGAAAGAAGAGAGAGAGAATCGAGAGGATTTGCAATTGAGTTAAGTTTCGATGTTTTTCAGCGCGGTTTGCCACTCAGGCTTGTATGTGTAACTTTGTTAATTGAGTTCGAAGAAAAGTTCTCGGAAAAACAATTAGGCTTATTAAAAAGTAATTAGATTTACGTTGGAAATTTACGTTTTTAGTGCCTTTTAAACCTTCTAATAAGTTACTTATTCCAATACAATTGAAAAATTGTAAACGTTCATTTTTATTTCTTTCTCAAATCTTGATTCTGTTTTTGATTCTGTGAATAATACAAAGTGTTTATGAATAATATTGACGATTTAAATTTTGCATTTGTAAGCTTTTTAAGTCATAAATATTTGGGAACGTTTCAAAACTCATTCGTGAAGTCATTCAAGTAATAACAGGAGGGTGAGCAATATAAATTTGCTGTACGTTTGAAGTTATTCATGGTGGAGTGTAGTAGTATCAATGATCTTCATAAGCATTCATGTAGAGACGAGCAGGCTCGAGTCAAGACGAAAAGAGATGAAATGCAGTTATTTATGTCTGAAACGAACATCGTACTCGAGCAAGAGGAATCACGTCGAACTGCATGAAGAGTAGAAGATGAAGAACCATTTATCATTTCTTCTCAAATGAAAGATCGCCCCAGCG